GACAATGAAGAAAGTGAAATGATCAAGAAGAAGTATGAAACCACCGGTTGCTGCAGCCATAGACTTGGCAAAACACTTGCAAAGAAAGCAGCAGAATAAGCAGCACAGTAGAAAACATAGTTAGAAACTTCCAAGATGTATAAACATGCTTCTTGATAAACCTATAAGCTTTCACCCTTAATGTATTATCAAATTTCTCATTCACTATCTCAATAGCCTTCTCTATATCCGATTTCTTCTTCTTCTTGAACTTCCCGTTTGTTTTAGTTATCCCATTGAATAAATCAGCAATTTCCTCATCATTTAGAGAACTTAATCCAACTTTAATAATATTAGCTTTTTTGAGAATATCAACATCTTTTGGAGTATCCACAATTCCACACATGAAGTCAACATATTCAGCTAACTCAAGGGCTGATTCTAGACCAGCAGTAGCTGCTTCGTATGCTACCAAGTTTCTTAATATCACTTCTGAATCGGAATTTAGTGTGATTTCAGGAAGATAAAATGTGTGTTCACCTCCTTCTTCTACAAATTTAATATCCCTTATGCCTGGCTTGAATTTTACCTCTCACATAATATAATTATTACGTACTCCAATTAAAAGTGGTGCTATCTTTAACAATTTAAACTTTTGGCTGAGATGATCTCATAATAGCCAACATAGCATCAAATCGGACAAGAGATCCTAAGTTCAAAATTACCGCCACCCAAAAAATAGGAAAAAACAAAAGTCTCTGTGTTTGGCTAATAAAAAAAAATAGTCAAACATTGCTGCTCCTGTTTCATCTAATGTGGCATTCATTATTAATCCGTTCAGGAAAAAATGAGAATTTTCTGTAGTGGATACAATTTTAATTTTAACCTTTTTATTTTACTCATAATTGGCATGTTTTTATAGTTACTAATCTTGAGGCGTGCGCTTTGCGCGTGTATCTTGATAAGTGAGTATAGACTTTTAAAAAACTACATAAAAATTATAAAAGAATGTATTTGAGTTAGAAAAAATAAGAAAAAAAATTATGTCCCTGAAATGATGCTTTTTTAAGTAATTAAACTACTCGGCAAAGAAAGAAATCCCTGCCTCATAAAAGTGCTGACAATGTTATACAAATATTAACTATGCATACGCACAAGAGACACAAGTATTAATATAATACTATGGTGTCACATTTTCCTTCATAACAAATGACCGGATATTTCTAAGTATAAGATTTACATAAGTAAACTCTTAATATTTTTAAAGTTTTGGATTTTTACATAATTTAAATAAGAAAAAATATAATAATATAGTTTTAAACTCCTAAATATAGATTTGTATAAAGTAAATTCTTAATGTTTTCAAAGTTCTAAACTGTAGGACTTTCTGCATAGTTCAAGTAAAAAGATTTAATACATAAAATTTTAATTAATTTCAATTCCCCATATAAATTGAAACAAATGAAGTATCCGTTTAAATTTTGAAAAGAGACTACACATGTCAACATTACCTTAGCAATTTCTTCAAGTTCTGTGACCGGTGGTATTTCAATCTCTTCAATTTGTGATTTATTTTCGTCTTCCTTTTTTATTAGTCCAGTGATATGGTCCCATGGCAATTGGGACATCAAACTAATTGGTTTCTCAACGATGTCACCTCCTGGAATAATACCAGCAATATTTCGCACTACTTTCACAACAATATGTTCTTCAAAAGACCTATTATACCGATCAAAATAATCTTCTGAATCATCATCTTCTTCCTCCCCTTCAATAATCGCGCGATTATTGACGATTAATTGATGCATATAAGCCAGCAAATGAGGAGAGCGAGCCTTGCAAAACTTGAAACTACGAAACTTCTTTTTCTCCGAAATTTGGAGAGGAGAGTGTGCCTTACAGATATTAAAGAATAAATCTTGAAACAGCTTTGAGTAAGGTCGACTGAGAGCATTTGGATTTGAATGAGAACTATACTTGGGATTTGATTCTCAAGCATTATGATGTCTTGAGCCAAGCTTCGACGTTCAGAATCTATTTCTTGATCTGAGAATTAATTTGTCAAAAATTGAAGCAAGTAAAGAGAATCAATAGTCAATATCTGAAAAAAAAATAAAAAATTCTGCTCAATTTTGTCCAAGTATCACAGAAAGTCACTAAGGAAGAAACAAAATGAGACATTTTCTATGATATTTAGGCAAAGTCGAATGGCTTTAAAGTTACATGATACTTAGGTAAAGATAGATAAATTTCTCGTTACATAAAAAAATTATTTAGTAATTTTAGTGCAATAAAGTAAAATTTGAGGAGTATCATAGAAAGTAGTAGTCAGTAAACTTCCGACCACACTAGTCAGAAACCCTTTTCCGACAGACTACTCTATTTTGGTCGGAAAGTCATCGGAAAATCTAAATCTGCGAGTACTTTCCGGCGATTTTTTGTGGTCCGAAAAACGTGATTTTCTTGTAGTTTCAGATATTTTCTATGGTACTTAGGCAAAAGTCGCAAAAAAATAATTTAGTGACTTTCATGATACATGATATATACTTGTGTTAAGTTAGGTAAATTTTCTAGTTACAGAAAAAATATTTATTTAGTAATTTTAGCGCAATAAAATAAAAGTTGAGTGACAGATAGAAACGACGTTACCTTTTTCTTGAGACAAACTTCGACCTTCAGAATCTATTTTGTGATATGGTATATAACTGGTCAAGAAGCGAAGCAAGTAGAGAGAATCAATGGTCAATATCCAGCATAGTGTGTATGAGTATCAATATCCAAGAACATATCATACTGTGCTCGAATTATTGGCTCAAAAAATATTAGTGTCTCGGTTATAAAATGTTGGACTTTGGAAAAATCCATGCAATTCTTGGCTATAGTTAGTTTATACCTTTCAGTGACAACAAACTCAGGACGAAAACAATGGTATGGTCCAAAGCCTATTTTTTGAGGGACATAAGCTTGGATTTTAGTTTCTTTAATTGTTTTGGGAACTTGACAAATACATGGAGAGAAGTCAATGGCTGTTTCTTTACCTAATTTGAAGGAATTGATGCATTGAATAAGCCAACGCTTCTCAGTTTCAGGATTATTAATGAAAGACTCTGTAGTCATTTTTGGTTGTTTTTGGAATTGGTTTTAGACTTTTTGGAGTATGGGGTTTTGGCTATTGAGTTGTTAAGTGAAGTGGGAGCTAAGAAGCATGGTTTATATAGTGATGATGGATTAGATAATTGGATTTTAATAATATTGAACAGGTTAAAATCACGTGTAAATTATAGTCAACAACATATGGATGGGTTCACACAATCACTTTTTTTACTAATTAATATAACTTAGGGATTTATTACTAAGGGTTAAAGCTAATTTGCATTTGATATTTACATCAAATTAATAGATGCATAACATGTGTTTGTAAATAGACTTTATCTTACCAATTCACCTAATAGAATTGGTACAGTTTCAATTAGTAAAGCAGTTAGGCAATTTGGAAAGCGTTAATTATTCAATAAGTCACATCTTATGAGCGAAAAATACTGGTAAATCGTATTGTCTAGAATGTCCCAAAGCTTTATCACGTGGTAAATCGATTTTAAAAATAATAATAATATACACAAAGTGGGGTTAATAATGTCTATGGACCGTGACTTTTGCACCTACTTGGCTATTAAAATTGATAAACTTAGAACTTTAAAGAAACATCACTTAGTAAACATATAACTACCTCACCATTTTATATAATTACCTATATGGGTGGGAAGCAAGCATGTGGATGCACCATATTGAAACAAGATAATGAGAAGATTACTTCTAGAAAAAAAAGTTAGAAAAAGAAAAGCTCTAAATAATTAAATGTACTTCTATGTTAAGCAAGTTATTTTCTCAAGTCTCCATTAAAACATTTTTTACTATAGTAAAGCAAAACTTCTCTTACTGTTTAACTTGTGTATATGATTGAGACTGAGAGAGAACACAATTTTTGTTTTACTTAACTGTAATGTCAATGCATTCTTTCGATCATTTTTAAGTGAAAATTCTTGAAGCATCACAATCTCAGATTGCGCAAATACAATAGTGAAAAATTGAATAACCCTACATCTCAGCTAAAACTTAAACTATTTGTATAAAAATCCTTTATTATAACGTGATGGCCCAATTGTTGGTTTGAACCTCGAACCGGCTCGGGTTTTCTTATACAAAATGTTTCTGTTTTGAAGAATAAACTAAAATAGCCGTCTAACAAACCGCTTAAATTAAAAATAGACAACAGATATATAATCTATGTATAAATCATATATAACATGTGTATATTTGTATATAATACATGTATAATATATATATACCGGCTAGAAAAAATAAACAGTGAATCTAGTCGGCTATTTAAGTAAAGATCCCATATTTTTGTGGCCCAACAATTTTTGACAAGTCCCCAGTAGATCGTCTTTTGATTGGCTGCGTGGCTTAGGCCTATTAAACCTTCCTTGAGGTCGAGGGTAATTGGAGCTCTTATGTCTAAATTCAAGCCCGTGGTATTACCCTGAAATGGGCCAGAGATTAATTTGGTTTAAGTGACTAATTATGGTCTGACTAATCATTTTTTTTATAGGAATTTTTACCTCCTATAGCAAAGCTTAACACCTTATTTATTTTAAATAAATACCATTTTAAAAAATTATATTCTATAGCTACCTTTTAATATTTATAGCAAAATATCTACTTATGGTTAACTCCTACCCTTAAGTCACTATATACGCTAATTATTATTTTTCTCTCTCCTTTTTCAGATTTTTCTCACATAATTTACCGTATTTGATGAGAAGTTCTCTCTCCATGTTCTCCCTCTCTCTAATTTGATACACGCCATTATCTTCCCCAGAAAACACGATTCTGCAACTGAAATTCCCTCTCACCCATATCGTCTAGGTCTTCCCCAGTCTCAGTCACTATGTTAATTTTATACACGCCATCAGCATTGTCTCTCTCGACTCTCGTTGTTTTTGCTACAAATAGTTTTGGTAAGTATTTAACTTGTTAGAATTTCGCTTGTACTTTGTTTATTTTGTTTATATCTACTATTTTTTTTTATAAACAATAACCATTGTTATTGTATTTAAACAGAAAACTTGAGATTTTCTCTCCTATGTCTGATTCAACATCCCACAAGAGGATTACCAGAGGTATACCCACCAAAACACTCAATATCGATGGGCCCTCTTTCTCTTTGCAAATCACTCAAGCGAAATTGGAATTTGCAGGTTCAGCAGCAAATACAACTGCAGAGAGGAAAACTAAAATACACAATGACAAATTGAAAGAAGCCCAAGTTGAGAAATCTTCGAAAGAATCAACAATTCCCGTTGCGGAAAAGAGAAAAAAACCTATGGATGATGCTTCATGTGTCAAGGGAAAGGAGGTCGATGCAAGAAATAGCTCGGATACACGGGATAAAAAGGTAATTGTTGATGTATCAATATGTATTTGACAAGGCACAAACTGATCCCTTTGATGTTGTTTTCATTTCAAATCTGCCTCAACAAAAATCTGGGAGCATGTATGTATTCAATCCTCTTGCTTGTATCATTTATAAATCTAATAATATGAATTGTTTTTTATTGTTTCAATCTGTATTTTTCAGGGATTGTGGGTTGCATGTCGCGGCATACGCAGAGTTTCTGAGCACTGTTGGTTTGGTTCCACAATCAACATTTGATGCTAATTTACTCCGTCAAAGATATGGTGCGCTCCTTTGGGACTATGCTATTCGGAAGATAGACGCTGATGCCATAAGTGAGAACGAAGCACCCTCAAAGACTGTTAGACAAATCACGAATTCGGATACGTCGGTTAAGATAATGTTAGAGTAGTTTTAGGTGAATGTAGTTTTGGATGGTAGTTTTGTGTGAATACTGTATTTTAGATAGTGTTTTGGTAAAGATGGTGTTTAGTTAAGAAAAAATCATGTTTACATTTTATTCACTATATCCACAATATTTATATATAATCATTTCAACTATTCAGTCGATATTTCAATGTTTTTGTGCATCAAAATTTATCTGTAATCAATAGGTTATGTTTGTATGGATACAACAAGTTGCATTCATATGAATAAATTGCATTCATCTGTAATCATCTGTATTCAACAGATTGCATTCATATGAATTAAATAAATTGTATTCATCTGTATTCAACAGATTGTATTCATTTGTATTTAACATGTTGTATTTATCTGTATTCAATAAATTGTATTCATCTGTATTCAACAGGTTGTATTTATCTGTATTCAACAGGTTGCATTCATATGGATTGTACAGGTTGTATTCATCTGTAATCAACAGATTGTATTCACATATATTCAACATGTTGTATTCATATGATATTGGCAGATTATATTCATATGTATTTAACGGGTTGTATTTCAAGTCAGAAACAGTGTTTAGATGTATTTCACATTTAGAAACCATATACACTCTCACATCCAAATATGTTTTGTATTTAAATGTATTCAAAAACACGAATGAATTATGATGAATGACATATGAAATCTATTTACAATACACTCATATTCTGACATTTTGTATTGATATGTAATAGTCGTATTGTAATTATGTATTCAGATTTAATATACCAACTAAGTATATCCAGAATATATTCATGTAAAAATTCAAAATGTATTATTTCAAAATGTAACCTGAATCTATGACACATCGTTATAGCACTAATACAAGTCAGATTGTGAACTAAGTCCTACGTGGAGCATTTCTACAAGTACACTTATTATGACCTTCATGCCCACATATGCTACATGAATGTTGATTTTTCTTCTGTAGCAATTCACTGAACGGCTTACCGCGCTTCTTCTTTGGCCTTCCAGGAGGTCTTTTTCATTTGGGTGGTGATCACGCCCAACTATGCCTTATAAAAAAGACTAAGCGATCGTTGCAAATATAATCCGGTTTACAAGTCCGGAGTCGAATCCCACAGAGAACTAAGGCTTAGCTACAGCTGTTCAATATTGCAAAGAAACACAAGTTCAAGTAATTTTCTAGTTATAAATATTTGATTTTTATTTTTACTAATTAACTAGCAAATATTATAAAGCAGTAAAATTATCAACTAACATGGATGAAATTCTAGATAAGACTAAGGAGGTTTAGAGTTATGATTTTTCCAATTGTCGGAATCCTTTCCGCTANTACCAACTAAGTATATCCAGAATATATTCATGTAAAAATTCAAAATGTATTATTTCAAAATGTAACCTGAATCTATGACACATCGTTATAGCACTAATACAAGTCAGATTGTGAACTAAGTCCTA